ATTTGGCCAGTGATTCTCTTCGTCGCTAAATTTCTCACCAGAACGACGTCTCCAGTTTTCAGGGAAGACGTGAATATGTGATTAACAGTTAGAATGTTACTGCGTGAATTTGTCATTAAAAGTTACAATGTTGATGAGTGAATATGTGATTAAAAGTCTCAATGTTGCTGCGTGAATATGTAATTGAAAGTTAGAATGTTGCTGCGTGAATATGTGATTAAAAGTTAGAATGTTGCTGCGTGAATATGTGATTAAAAGTTAGAATGTTGCTGCGTGAATATGTAATTAAAAGTTAGAATGTTGCGTGAATATGTGATTAACAGTTAGAATGTTGATGCGTGAATATGTGATTAACAGTTAGAATGTTGATGCGTGAATATGTGATTAAAAGTTAGAATGTTGATGCTTGAATATGTGATTAAAAGTTAAAATGTTGCGAAAATATGTGATCAACAGTTAGAATGTTGCTGCGTGAATATGTGATTAAAAGTTAGAATGTTGCATGAATATATGATTAACGTGGAAATGTGAATGCGTGGAAATGTGAGTAATACAGCGTTGGTGCGTGAATAAGTGAACAACAGAATGTGGGTCGTTAATAAGTAAATAACAGTTAGAATATGGGGACGTAAATGTATATATAGTAACATATAGTGACGTCGTCATTATGTCACACCGTCCTGATCAGTGTCAGGGTACGTGAAGTTTGTGCGTGACGCGCTCGGGCTTCTCAGAAGATCGGACGTTCAGAGATGAGCGCACAACTTCCGCTGCCACTGAACTCTCTCACGATTAATCTAGCGACTGCGGATGAGTGACGTAATAGTTGTTTTCTCTCAGAATAAGTGAGCTAAAATCGTCTCGGTTGAGCGCCTCTTGCGTGACGTCATTAGTAAGCAGGGGAAAATTACTTGGCGTTGGCAGCCGAACGTTTATTTTAATGCTCCATTAGATACTTTATTGGAAATTGTTAAACCTTGCTTAGTTATTCATGCAATTTTAATGGTCCAATAAGAATGTGCGGTTTGAAGTTTGGTCATGTATTCCGTAACGCGAAAAATAATTAACACACAATCATTCTTGATTCTACTCGCTATCCTTCCCTTAACTCTTTTCACATTCTTGCACACGTTACTATATTGATAAGGCAGGAAATAATTATTCGACATTTGATGGGAATACCATAGCCAGATTTCTATGAATATTGTAAAGTTTATGAAGTTATCTGAAGCAAGCGCCCCTACTTCACTTGCATAGTTGTTCATTGTTAAAGTATCGCTCATTCTTCAATTTTTCATTCTTTCATTCTTCATTTTTTAATTGTTCTCCGTAATTCGACGAGATGATATCCCGGCGAAGGTGCGAACGTCGCGATACTATGCACTGCGCCAGCGCACAGCGTCTTGGCAGAAAGCATTTCCGGTGCCTCGCTGCATGCAAACAAGTTGTGGATCGTATACATTGTTGGGTGCGGTGCCTGCATGCAGTGTAGCCGTACGTTCATGCTAGGGGGTGCTGTGCCTGCATGCAGTGCAGCCGTACGTTCATGCTGGGGTGCTGTGCCTGCATGCAGTGCAGCCGTACGTTCATGCTAGGGGGTGCTGTGCCTGAATGCAGTGCAGCCGTACGTTCATGCTAGGGGGTGCTGTGCCTGAATGCAGTGCAGCCGTACGTTCATGCTAGGGGGTACTGTGCCTGAATGCAGTGCAGCCGTACGTTCATGCTAGGGGGTGNACGGGCACGTCACACGTACGTTACGGGCACGTCACACGTACGTCACGGGCACGTCACACGTACGTCACGGGCACGTCACACGTACGTCACGGGCACGTCACACATACGTCACGGGCACGTCACATGTACGTCACGGGCACATCACACATACGACACGGGCACGTCACACGTACGTTACGCGTACGTCACGGGTATGTAAGTTGTTGCAGGACGCCGCCGGCTGGTAGGTATTCCCCTGTCCTCCCACACCGCAACTAAGTTACTAAATTTACTCATATATTACCCCGAAATTTGGTTCACAATTAATGTCCTCACACCTGTAGTGCGTGGTCGGGAAATTTGGAAACCATTCGATTTTTTCATCATTTATATCACATATTATTTGATACCTCGTTTGAAGTTGATAAAATGTTGACAGTTAATAAGCATTAAAAGTTGTTAATTTTTAAAAACCAAGTACGTAAACAGACGCAGTTCATTTTAGGTTGCTACACAAGCATGTTATATCATCAGCTTCCGCCATTATATTTTCAAATCAACCATTTTGACGCTCGAAGAAACTTTATTTGGATCGCAATAAATGAATTCGCATTTATGTTTGAAGGCATCCGATTTTGCTAACCATTATGACTCATTTTTATTCCTTGTATGAACTTGATTGAATTTGTCATTTTCTTGTTCGTTTTGTCGACGAAACTTGACTGCTCCATGAAAATTGTATTTCGGCTTTTGGTGTTGTCGAAGTCATTTAAATTCAATCTAGATATGAGCAATTTCAATCACTTCTACCGATATTGAAGTTTTAATATTAGAATTTATTTTATTACGAAACATATAGAAAAGGATGGAGTATCCTTATACTGCGCATTCATAAAAATGAATCGGTCACAATCTTGAACTATTGACACACTTCATGCATGTAGCACTGATACGTCCATTTCACGGTCAACTGGGTCACGATCGCTTTTTGGACAAAGCTTTTTTTCTTTTTGGACGATCGCGTTTTGGACTAGGAGTGTGATCTCATCGCTTTTTTGGACAAAGTCACATTCATTGCTCTGAGTGAGGTCATGCCAATCCATGGAGCTAGCATGGCCTTGTAGCACACCTATGTTTCCGGCGCTCGGAGGTCACATCGCTGACCTGTACGCCGCATGCAGAGCTGAGCTGCGCTAGGGAGAAAGTGGCCACCCGCATGGGGTAATTTTCCTGATAACCTCTACCCGCATGGGGTAATTTCCCTGACAACCTCCACCCGGAACTGGCTAACTGAATAGACAACAATGCATCCCACACTATTGTGCTCATGTCATGACATTGATGGTACTGGCTTTGTGTTGAATCATTTTCACAGAATGAAAGTTGATGTATACGATTAAGTCGTAACTAATTTCCACCAGCCTGTATTATTCACAGAATCGTGAATGTTTAAATATTTGAAAAATTGCTGTTTTTCCTTAATCATGGTAGCATCAAGTTATATGCGTTGGACAGTGTCAACGCATTTTTATCAATTTCAAATAATTTTTAATATATATTAAAAATTAATATTCAAATTAGAAATATTCAAATATTTTTTAAACTCGAATATTCATCGCATTCAAAGTGAGAATGCGCGTTCAAGGAGAGAAGGAGTTCACTTCTGGGAATTCACTGCTCAATTCCAGTGTTTCAGGCCTTGCACAACAGAGCCACATGACCTGCATTTTTTGAACGTGCACCGATGCAATTTGAATCGAATTATCTCCGGAATTTAACCAAATAGAATCTCGATTTAGCGATTTTCAGAAAAATTTGTTCAGTAAAATTAATTCATATGCAACAGTTTTTCATTCCTGGTCATATTTTTCTTGTTTTCCACTTTTTTGGTACTGCGACGGGGTACGCTACTTCTTCCTGCTTTCTTTTCAGCTTTCGGACGATGAATTGTTTTTGATTCCTATAAGTGAAGTCTTTTTATTACAACACTTCTCTTTAATTTCACTTCTTGTTTGTTTGTTTGTTTGTCTGCTACAAATCTTGTAATCGAAATTTAATACACTTATACTTATCCTATCGATCAGAAATTTTGCACACTTGTGTAAAGTTGGAGATAATGCATGAATCAAATGTCAAAATAAATGATTTTGAAAATGTATTTTTTTTTCAATATTAAAAAAAATCGAATAAATAATTTTGTCAGCTACAAATCTTATAACTGATATTTTACACACTTTTACCTGTCTAATTGATTCTGAAATTTTGCACACTTGTGTGAAGTCAGAGGCAATGCATGACTCAATTAACAGAATAAATAATTTTGAAAAAAATTATATATTAAAAAAATTTAAAAATTATTTTTTTAATTCGAAAATTAAATGAGAAATTCATTGTACATCTGTAAGCTTGGAGACACTGGATTCTTTGGAAGTGTTGTCTTTAAAAAGTTTTTTAAACGTATATTATTTCAGTCTAGCGTACCCGGATCATTTTCATCATACATGCAACGCGCAACTCTCAAGGCCAACAAGTTTTTACTTACAAATATTCCTGGCATATTTTTCGTATTTTCCTTTATTTTTATTCCTCTAAAGCCTATTCCTACAATCAGCGCATCATATTTCAGACACAGGCATTCTCACATGAGATTCTCTTACTTTCAGTATTTTTGACAAGGTTTGCATTTTTGAGTCGGGCATTTTTATCAAGGACAGTCTGCGGTGCAACGATTCTAGGAACCGCTGCTAGCCACGGCGCGGCCTGGAGCGGTTCCCTCCTAGGTACTGGTCTTATGATTATGGTATCATAAATCGAGATCCAATCGCACCGCTTTCTCCCAAAATTCCGGTAAATAAATGGCGTTAGAGAGTGGATTTTCTCATCATCAAATGCGTATTTGCAAGATTGCAAACATTATCGAACAAATAGAAGTGTATTAACATGAAAACTGGAAAAGGCAGATTAAAAAACCCAGCCCACGCAGGGCCGGCTTTGGTTGTTTATGACGGCGGTGACATTTATGTCAGTCTCGTGTGATCTCGTATCATAGCTACAGATCATACACGTGCAATGCCAGTACTCGACGCATCCTCTTGAACTAGGGAAATATTGCGGAAATGGATATCTAATTTATCGAATATGCGAGATAATATTTACTGAAGAGTTAGCTTCTACCACTAAAATTTTTCTCAGACTAGCGTTAATAATAAGGTTAAATTGTTTTCGTGTAATACGTATGCATTTAATTGTGAAATAAAAATATGATTAAAACTATCTCTAAAGACTGGGCGAATTTCAGAGTGGTGATGCTTGCCAATATGCTATAAAAACATTCACCAACGGTAACGTGTGATTCCAATTACTTGCAGAAAATATTCAAATTAATATTCATGGTTCTTTTGTAAATAGCTTTTTTCATACACAATGAAACCAAGATGGAAGCAGTATCTATCTTTGACAGCAATGCTTCTAGTCTCTGTTACCATGGGACAGCCTGCAAGGTGAGGTTTAAATGTTTGAGCCTTTTGGAATACATGTTTCTTATTCGCTACTCTGATTTAACGGCTAAAAATCAACTGTAAAGAACCGCATTAACTTCATGATCTTTATCTTTGCTCATAGTTAATTTCGCTTGTAGATTTCAGTATTAGTCATGGATATAGTAATGAGTGCTAACACATGTGGTGTCACTGGCAACCAGCTTATTTTTCTGAGTGATTCATTAAACTCACCCCTCTTTATTGGGCAGGTCGAGCGACGCAGCGAATGCGGGTTCAGCTCTTGACAAAAACTCCAAGTATGAAGCAGCCGCGGGACTCAAGGAAACCAAAACTACAGCGGGAATTCCAAAAGAGAAAGGTAATAAATTACTTAACAAGAACCATGTGTAAAATTGAGGAAATTATAAATTGTTTAACGGATAACGATGGTGGTTTGATCCGGTCGTTTTACATGAGCTATTTAGCCTCCATATGAAAGTATCAAAAATGCTACAATACAAAGCGTTTTCAAAACGGAAAATACGAGGTATTAAGAAAAGTAATGGCTTCGCTGTATCTTTGCTCGTGGTATTTTTCACGTTCCGAGAGTGACCATAAGATTACAAGATATCACGTCAAGCTATGCATTGCATTACCTAAACTATCGAATGACATCATTGTTCCTGTGCTCCTGTAAACAATATATTAATAAAACAATACATAATTTTGGTTCAATATCATCTCGCTTGAAGGTGTTCACGTCCTGTTCAGAACTTGCGGAGCATTCGTCCCTGAACAAATTTCGATAGGTGCGAAAAAAATTTTTTTCCCTGAGAGCAACGAGCAAATTTACACTGAACAATGCACATAATGAACCGCACGTATAACATATTTAAAGTCGAATCACATGACTGTTCGCAAAAATCATAAAGAATAATGTATATGAATGAAAAATTATCAGTCAGAAACGTTTGCTTGAGCCAATTTTTGGAAGAAAAGGCGCTATTGTGCCCGCCATGTCCGTCCGCCCGTCCGTGACGCTCTCTGTCACTCACTCACTCACTGCAGTGACACTGATCTAATTTTTAGCGCATTTTCTCATTTATGGAAAAAATGCACTATTGTGCTCGCCATGTCCGTCTGTCCGTCCGTCCGTGACTTCACGTTTTCGTCGCCGAGAAAATGCGCTCTCCGTCATCACTGCAGTGAGACTGATCTAATTTTTTGTGTATGGAGCCGTAATAGGTGGCATAGTAGGACTTGGCACCATACAACTTGATTGATGATTGGTAAAATTGATGATGATGGCTGCAGGTTTTAGGTGAGAATCCGCCACAACAATGAGGCTGCAGCGGCAAACACTTTCATAAGATTTATGTGAGAATATTTTCCTCTCGTTTTATTGTGATAATTTAAATTGATTCTTTTTGCACGAGATAATTCATACATGTAAATATTAATAAGCTAAAAAAATGTCTCGTTAATTAGAAAATTTGAAAAATGTTTTAGTTTCATTACAAAGAAAATATTATTTGAGAGCCACTTCAAAAAAGTTCACTGTATTCTGGATGTACTCTTTACACTTTTACAGCCTTCTATAGTAACTATACAGTTATATCGCTCGACGAAAATGAATTTTTGGAAAATCTATGTTCCTTGCTCCACAATACGGACTATGATTAAAATTTTGATTAGGAGCATAGATATATATATGTATAGGTATGATTATGCAAATCTACTTCAAGCATTACAAAGGAAAGGAATTATTCAATACGATATCTCATGAGCTCTAGAAACCAGGCTCATTAAATGCGGAGTCAGCATCGTTCGACGGAAACGTTACCCGGAAGCTTTGATTCTTGAATGTTTTTCTCTAATTGTTTCTAAAGCAACGGTTTCATAACTTCATATAAAAAAATTGCGATGATTTTGCTCTTGCATGATATCGTTACGAGTGATGCGTTTAAAATTTAAAACACAATAATAAGGCCATTTTAATGCGGCTGTTCATGTTTTTGTAGCAAAATTATATCCAATATTGTTTAAAATTGTTCGTATCTTGGCCTTCTCCATGACCTCGACGTAATTTGAGAAGATTTTTTCTTCTGATTCTAAATCTGATCCAAAGGAGAGACGAACTTAATTAATTCTTAATTAATGATATTAATTAATAATAAATAATATCATTCCGTTTATTTCTCTCAGCCTTAGTTTGATTCTGCAATAAACGCGAGTTGCATAATATCTGGTGCCGGCCTTTCACAAGATCCTGCGTGCAGGTTACATTGGTTGAAAATTTAGATGTCTTATACGAGATCGGCGGATTACGTCGAAACAATTCACTGATTCACTGAATTGAATATTATTAATCCTATCTGTGGTTATCTTTTTCATTTTTTAGATTTATCCCATGGCATTTTTCATTGACTATTTTATAAGTACCATCGCTCTCGCATAGACTAAACAAATGTGCACAGAGCTCAACAAAGAATTTCATGTGACGATAAAGTCCCGACGTGGCTAATTAAGACGATATTGATGAACCGCATGACCCCGACCTAGTGGCAGCAAAGTTGTTATTGACGCTGATTGACGACGTGAGTAAGCTTCACTAAATTATGTCTTTCATGCGGTTTTTTTATTTATTTATTGAGATCTTCGTGAACACGAACTGGACAGGCTATGCAGTATCTATAATAATAAATACACTATAGACTACCAACGTCAGGCCCACAGATACTAAATTAAAATAAATATTCACTCAACTCAAATGCATTAATTGTTCTGAACTGCAAATTTTCGCCGTATTTATTTAATTTTTCGACAAGTATTAAAAATTTCAGTTTAATGAGAATTTCTACCAATGTATTTTCTCAGTTTGCAACAAATTTTTCGAGCAATTTTTTGTAATGCTGCAAAAGAAGACCTCTGAAATTCTTACGATTAAGGTCGTCTGATTCAGGCAGGCATAATACTTCGGGTATATACTCGGGTCATACAGGGAATTATATAACTCGAATGGAATGACTAAAAATATTATTTTGAATATTGATAAAAATATTTATTTTGAAAATAATTGGTTTGCTTTATTTTGCAGTGAAATGTCACGCGCGGAATCTGCTGCAGTGTGGGAAGGCTGCTTTAGAGAAACTATCGAAGAGCAAAGACAGCGACAAGAAGATGAGATGTCTCATCAGAGAGGTATTTAAAAACAGTTTAAGGTACACTTTGTGATTACTTCAGTACTTATTGATGCTTCGGCAATTTTCAAATAATTGAATTCGAAGAATAAACGCCTGAATTCGTCGGAAGCCATTTCCGCTTCGTATAATTTAAGAAAAGTTTCGCTCAATCTTCCCCTGCGTAAGTATACAGAATAATATTAGCAGAAATTATCCTAAAGGTACGATTTTGTAAATATTTTAGTCTTTCAGTTAATCAAAACGGGGTTAAATTTTATGTCATATTTGTTACGGTCAAAACTCATTTAATTTGCACTACGGCATGGGGTAAGGCTTGAATGCGTTCAGTTCCACACATATAGTCAAGTTACCATTGAAGAATTTTGTTTTTACTGCACAACTTCTTACTTTGAATCGCAAAAATGGCCTATCCTGATAATGTATATGTTTTAATCCAGTACCATATTGCACATGTCTCCAACCCCGATAGGAAGCCCACAAGTGGCAGACGATATAAGCAGTGGCTCCCAGACTTCATTTTCGAATATATATGGTGAATTTACTTATCGTTTTCTTAGCTTCAAGAAAACTAATTATCTAAGTATTCACTAGTAAACTCTTGGATGCTCACAGGATTTCCTGACGTGCATGAGTGCGGAGCGCGAGAAGACCTGCCAGGCGGCGCAGGAGGCTGCAGACGCTAAACCCTACCGTGAGCCCCCGGAGGTGACGTCGCTCAGGAACGACCTCAGACGCAACTTCAAGAACTGTGTTCTCAGCTATTCCAAACTTGATGGAAGTTTAGGCTTGTGAGATGTCAGTTATAATGATTAAGATTGTTTGGGATTAGGAACACGTAGGCAACTTATTAATGATGCGATGATTCTAGAATTTTGAGATGTTGATTGATTTGTTTATGAATATTTTGAGAAGTATAATAAATATGAGATACTGGATTTTTATTTCATTGACTCCAGTATTCATAGCTCAATTTTCAGTCGCCGGTCGTCATGGATGTCGTAATTTATTGTAGCCGAGGGTCAGGACCATGCTTTTACCGAGTCTAATGTATGCAAATATGGATTGACGTATTCATATTGATGTTATACAAGCCACAAGTTCAGAGTCTAGTAAAAATCTGGATTTCGTGCCTGTTTCACACAAGTCCCTTCATTCTATTCCATAATCTAGTGAGCGCTATCACTTCCTTATTTGCTCAGTCATATATAGGGTGTTATGAAGGTTAGGTCTCTTCAATCTGCACGAATGATCTTAATTGCGTCAAAAAGTGCATAGCTATTTAGACAAACGCTTGATTTTCCTGTGTGGGTCATTACTTTGTGGGTCATTATTTCTCTCATTAAGCGTTTGAATGACTTATGGAGGAATGGAGGTGGTTGATGCAAGTTCAAAATCCAGATGCGGTCGTTTGAACTAGAGTGGTCCAGCAATTTTGAACTAGAGTTGTCCAGGAAAACATTAGTGTTTTCTGAAAGCCTTCGCTTTGAATATCTTTTTTAACACTCCAAAAAGTTCTCTCAACAATTGTTTTCATTTTTCCTCTGACCTGCTCTTGGCAGGTCAACGATGGACATGTGAACTTGAGTATACCAGCATAGAGCGCGTGGGTGAGAAATTAGAATTCCCTTTGATAAGAATGAAGAATATATCACGAGCAGACTGCTACTAATTTGGTGATGACGCAAGAGGGAAACTTTGTTTGGAAATTAATTACGACTGCAGATATCAAATAGTGTTTTTTTCATAAGTAGTACAATATTTCCCTTGAGGACTGCTCGAGGAGCCTAAGCAGAATCGCGAAATTTTTAATAAATTGCACGCGATTGTTTGGTGCATAGTACCTCAACAAGCTTGCATAAGAAACGTATAAATGCTAAGAGATGAAGGAAGAATATCTCGGTTCAAGACGATGTACCTTGCAAATCAGAGATACTTTGTCCAATCCCAAATCAGACTTAATATTGCCAATTTAATTACATTTATTTGCAAAGGAAATTAACGTATTTCGGTAACTCTCGCGATACAATTGATAATGAAAACATAACATAACGAACTATTTTGATTAACAATTGGTAACTCTTATGATGGCAAACTTTGATTTAATCACTCAGTTTTCATTGGATAACTAACTTAATTAGTATGAAACAACGGCTTAAATAAAGCTTTACAAACATGCGAGTCCACATGCACAATAATTGCGGACGCGTTATAACTAAATATCAACTAATAAAATTAATGTATTTCACATCATAATGCTCAAATCTAAGTAGATATAGAGTACTATTTATAACACATACAGTTACACATTAATCACGATTTGCATTCGATGCGAACGTTGAACATTCCTCAGACACAACGATCACGACACGAACGCTAGAGGCGTCCAGCTTATGTAGCGTCGGAGAATTGCAACTCAGTACATGCGACATGAGTCAGAACCTTCGCCATTAGTCAGAACCTTCGACATGAGTCAGAACCTTCGACGTGAGTCAGTACCTTCGACTTGTGTTAGTACCTTCGACGTGAGTCAGTACCTTCGACTTGTGTTAGAACCTTCGACTTGTGTTAGTACCTTCGACGTGAGTCAGTACCTTCGACGTGAGTCAGTACCTTCGACGTGAGTCAGTACCTTTTATATATTATGCACAACTTTTTCTGCTTAACAGTGAACCTCTACCAATTTGTATAACGCGCTACACTTCAGTAAAATATCATATATCACATAATGACCGTTTCAAATTAGCTTCAAGTCTGTCGGGCGAAGAGCAATGCTTTCGGCTACATTTTTGATGACAAAGCGTGGCGGTCGCACACTAGTATACAAGTCGTTCACTTCTTAACAAGTTGCAGGTAAGAATAGTTGTGACTGTTGCATTCATGTTTGTTAATCTTCTAATATTTTAATTACATAACAAAAAAGACGGGACACCGAAAAAATGTTGCTTGAAATCTGATGTGCTACGAGTGCAACGGTTGTCGTTGAAATCTCTTGGAGGAACAATGGCAACATTTTAGCTTTTGAAGTTCTTCAATATTATGAAAACTTTTCTGCGTTTGGTACGTGAGTTTTAAGAGTCATCGATTTCAACCTTTAATTTTAACATTTCCAAATCCATCTTGATTGCAATGTGCCCTACAAATCGAACTTAAAATTTTCGCAACTCGAATTCCTAATGTAAATTACCTTAAACGCATTAAGTGTTATCTTAAATTAAAGTATTCAAATGAAAGATCCATTTTAACAAACTAAATTGCGTACATCAAACATAATAATTACGATGAAAACTTCTACTCCTGAGATTTGCATGCGACTCCAGTGACATAAAAAGAAAGTAGCGATGGCGCACGAAGAAAATTTTAAGTAGCGAGACAATCTCCGCAAAAATTACGCTGGCACTTAACACAGTACGATTCATGGACTATTTCTGGTTAGCTAAGAGAATAAAGCGCAAAATTTAGTTCCATTTCTAAAGTGATTGGCAAGAATTTGGTCAAAATTAATTGCTGAAGACTAACTGCTTGAATAACACAGAAAACCTAGCTTAAAATAGCAGTAGCTCCGTAATGAAAAGGTAAAAAGGGCCTTTGTAATAAACTTTTTTCCTCTCTTCATAGCGAACGAATGAAGATGAATTGAACTGAGCACTCTCACCGTGCGAGGACAAAGTAAAATATACATTATACTGTGAATATGCTGAGTCAAAAATAGACTTCAGATAACATTTCTTTTATCATAGCTTTACTCGAACAATGTTGGAGTTAACCTATTCCTAAGGTCGTCATTCACTTTGATAGAAAAAAATAATAATAAAGAACTGAAAGTTCATTGAATTCGAGATGGATATCGGACTACTAATAGATAAAAATAAGTGGAGGAATGGATGGAAAGAAATGAGACAAATGAAGTGTCCCGCAATCGCAACATGCACTCCCGTTGTACACAGGAAGTAACTACATCAATGATCAAACGCATAACAATCCTTCAATACAAAGACAACATTCGAGACCAGCTTAATAAGTCAAACTATTGAATACAAATGGCGACGGAATGGTAACAATGTTGAGCTAAGAAGAATCACTCTATTCTACACAATAACACAACTTACAATGCTTCTTACATCACGATACGGTGAAGTGCTTCAACTCCACCGTCTTCCACAGGAGGAGGTTCATCTAAACTGGAGAAAACCTCGCATCCAACCGAATACTGGCGCATCCAATCCAAACCTCGCACCCAATCGAATACTGGCGCATCCAACCCAAACCTCACATCCAATCGAATACTGGCGCATCCAATCCAAACCTCGCACCCGATCGAATACTGACGCATCCAACCCAAACCTCGCATCCAATCCAAACCTCGCATCCCATCGAATACTGGCAAGACGGACATCGTGAGTGAATGCAGTCCTTCGAGGGTATCACACGAACTTCGATAGGCCATTCTCTCATTTGTCTAAGAATTATTTACAGCCAAATAAAATTAAATTTGAATTAAAATTAAAAAGAGACCAGAGCTTTAAGCTGTCTAATGATAATTAAATTCTTTTATGCTGATTGAGGGAATAGAAAAATTCCCTGTTGGAGCTTTCTTGTCGTGGCTACTAACCATACTTGCACCTGGCAATTTACAAACCATAAATATAGGACAGGAAAAATAATATTTGCCAAGAATGAGAGATGGCGCAACATGAGAATAGTTTAGAGCAGCCTCTACTCGTTACTTTTTACACAAGAAGCTAGAGTCTCGAGAAAAGAATAGTATTATAGTAAACGAAAAATAATCACATATTTAAACTACACATCATCAGCAAATCAATTCCTAGAACTTGATGCTTGGTGATTCTGTGAATAAGATTGCAATTGAGGTTGAGTGCCCGAATCTCTGGGTGTAGGCGCCGATGGTCTGCTAATTGGCAGAAGTTTCTGGATGTCAGTTTGGTTGGCCGATGCCGGCAAGGGAGCTCGTCTCCTCTCTCGACATCTTCCTCGCTGCACGGGCGTCTCTTGCATCTCCCACGCTGCGACAGGAGCTTGAGACTCAGCTGCAGATTGGGATGGCTTAGTAGGGAGGATACCTAGAGGCAAGCATACGTGGTATGGGACAAAACCTTCGGCGCCATGAGCAGTGCGGACGTATAACCAGTCACGGGTCTTGAATACAGCATTAACTATAACCCCCAGAGGTAGGAATGGTCTAGAAGGGCCGGCATTAGTTTGAGTTCGTCTCATGTGATGCAACCGTGTGGGTGATGCTAGAACCATTGGTAAATTAGCAGGCTGATTAGCTGAGGAATGACTCAAAAGTGCTTCTAAGTCCTCTACTTGATAACCATAGTTTCCTGTTGATGAAGATACTGGCTGATGATGACTGTAATTTCTCTCTTCAGGAGGATTTTCAAGTGCAACCGCTGCCGGCGGTGGTCCGCAAGGATCCCAATGTCTTTGGTCGACAGCAACAGGCGATGCTAGTGGAGGTGGAGACGCGATTCCTACAAGAGATAGGCAAGTTGATGAAGGAGACGTTATTTGAAGTGGAGGAGGGGAAATAGCTTGGGGTGGAGATGCCAAGGGAGAATTTGCAGATGGTGAAGACGGTTGAAACGCTCGAGATCGAGTTTGTCTAACTCTGTTCGCAGATGAACATCTAACACGTCGGTTCTCAGCGTCTTTCCTACCCCCCCTCGGCTCACTTGACATGCTCCTAAATCGGGCAGTTGATGCATGATCGCTAACTTGAAGTGTGTTGAATGAAACACGAACATCTTCAACGTTCAACGTTGTTTGTGGAACGAACGCAGTACTCGCGTCACTAACTGGTATAGCCAAGTATCTCCCATCCGTGTCCGAGGGGTTTATATAATTAGAGGCATAACGACTATCCGCATTTTCTGGCTGATTTCCGTAGTGTCTCAAATTCAAATGAGATTCGCTTTCAGAAGCAGCATTCGAAGGTAACTGATAATATCGATGTTTAGAATCGGATTCATGAGACGCATAGGAACAGTTAGGCTTAGTATAACGGCTGCACGGATCAGCGTCTTGGTAAGAAGGCGCGTACTGTACAGGGTAACTGCGAGTGCTGTCCTGATACGCAGTACCGTCACTCCTCCACTCGCAGCCATGAGCCCCGAGACCTAAAGGAGTATATGGTTGTTGTAGCTGTTGGTGCGAACCTCGTTGTAGCGTTCCCAACGATTGGTTAGGAAAAACCTGAGACGGCGCTTGATTAGAATACTGAATATGCTGTTGATGTGTATAGTGTTGCTGTGAGGAAGCTTGGTTCGGTTGGTAAAGCGAGGCATGGTGTTGTTCATGCTGAGGATGCTGTTGCTGAATTTGCTGCTGTTGCCAGGATGTAGCTCGAGTGGTCGAGTGCTCCTGATGTGCCAACATGGCGTGACCGGCTAGAACATCGGGCAGACTCTCGTCCGCACCCAAGCCAGGCAACACCGGTCCAGCACTTGTCGTCGGAGTACTACCGCTCGCAGTACTTGTCTGAAATACAGGCAGCATTAGTACATTTACTTTCAAAAAGATCAGATTATTAAAGATTAGATCAGTTGATTATTTGTCTACGGATGCAATAATTTTATTTTTTTTATGACCTGGTAAAGGGATTTGTCAGTAGGCAAAAGATTAACCCGCTCTTCACCGATACATTTACCACCACAAATATCATTGAGATGTGCCTGGTAAATAGAATAGTAGTCAATAGACAAATGCATCAATTCTGGTCTGAAGTATGGAGCAAACTTACAGTAAGAAAACGAGTGATTTTTTTAAATGAACTAAAATTGTTAGGAAGTCTTGAGAAATAAAGGGTGAAACCTTGCTTCTAGTTTTGATCTATTGTAAACATGTGTCATTTGAACTAAGCAAAAAAAAAACAGGCACTTCTTCAGCTTCTGAAAGCCGTGACCAGGAATGATAGTGAAAGAATTTTTATTCCCTTTGATCTTACTTTCGTCCATATTGATTATTGTTACCTTCCAATTATTATAGTTCTTACTTATTTTGGAAAGGTGCAGCTGTTTTGATACAGCAAAATCCAAACATTGTTTGGTTCGGTTGGTTGTCGGAAAAATCTTTAGCGATTTGATAAAATCTCGACTTACCGTAGCGGTTCGCTCCTTTTTAATTTTCTTTGTATTGCCCTTCCAGATGTTCATTGAGGGAAGGATATCAGTCGTGGCAGCCTCGACCTGTGACGATCAAGTGACCATTTTCACGGACGACTTTTTGGCATCGAAAATACGACGCCCGTCCGTAGATCGAAGCACCACTCTTTCAGGAAAACTTTCAGTAATTTTAATATCAACAATGCTTGAAAATTTGTGTGAAAATTTTTGAATTAGTGTGTGTAAAAGAGAGAAGATAGACTACCTGTCAAAATACAGAATAAGTTTTAGTTGAAATTTAATACGAAATTGAATATAGGAATTTGAATATAGGATTCAAATTCCAAAAACACTTTCCAAAAATTATGGCTTACGATGATTAGTTTCCTAATTGAGTTTTCAGAACTAGTAACACAAACAGTTTAGAAAAATATTTCACGACCCAAAGAGGAATAGACTACTGATACCAGAATCAATTAAGAAGTATTTTGAAGTAAAAATTCCTTTAATTAATTTCAAACATAATGAAATAATCGTCAGCGGAAATCTATAAAGGAACAAGAGAATGAGTGCCGTATTTTAATGCAGGTTTGAATACTATTCATCTCAGAAGATAAATAGGTGCGTTCTAAGCGTCCAATGGCAATATGATTAAACTCAGCTTCACAACAACGATGTTTAAAAATGGCTCAAGAAAATACAAACCACAGCAACTGTATATACCTCCCTTGTTTGATACAACGACTATGGACCAAGGAATGAAACTACAACACAACAACATTACTGCAGCAATCGCCGTCGTATTTTCACAATCTCTCTAAATTGCAACGCAGTCTAAAGTACGAAAAACTTATTTAATTTGCTGGTGTATTAGGGTCCATATTTCTACAAACCTGATGCATTGAGTGCATTCCTTAATGTGCTTGAATCTAAATAAATATCTAAAACTACAAAGGAATGAGTTTGCGTAAAAAGTTAATTATTTTAATTGTTTGTTATATCATTTATTTAATTGTGAATAACAATGTCTCGAAACAATATTAGGCATAGTGTGGAGAAAAAATAAAAATTTGGCACTCATATATTTTTCTGTATTCCTCACCACCAGATGAGCTGAGTCCAATTAAATTGCCATGTCAAATAATTATAGAAAATTGATTAGACTGCGACACAACCAACCGAATTTACTGGACCGAAAATAATTTGGTACGTTGCGAAACTCATATATCTCAATACCTTTGAGGGAAATTAATAAATTCTCACGCAAAACTCATAAATCGATCACACAACAAAGGATATTGCGGTTCTGAGCCAACCGAAGAAACGAACCGAATTTATTTTTGTCGTGCGGTGGTCATCGAACACACGATACGTGACAGCGAATCTGAACTGCCATAAACTTTTGGGTCGGATTAACGGCACATAATTAATTAGAACAAAAGAACTCATATTGACAACAAATGAACATATAATCGGGTCTATCATCCATCAGAACCTTCTAATGAAAAGAAGAAAATAGTCCTGTGGCCCAAAGGGAATTTAAACAGACGATAAGCTGGGGCGAAAAATTTCACCGGAAGATGAATGAATTCGAAAGATTATTCTTCCTAAAAATCTGCGAACCAGATTTTTTCCTTCGAAGCCTGGGATTTTCAATAATTACTCAATCGTGATGAAAATCAGACTATAAATTGCCACCCTCCCATCTATGTGGAAAAATCTGATCTAAAATCTACTTCTTTTCGTGGCTCGGATGCAGTATGCCAGACAACGCATTCAGTATCATACACAGTATGTAGAGTAGCAGTGCAAAGTAGTCTATTAGAGTAATTTAATCCAATTAATTTATTTTGATTAATATTGCAGTAGTTATTAGCGCCCTTTCGAGCCGTAATCGCAGTGATGCAGGTTTATAAGGGTGCAGTGGCGCAGTAAGCACTTCGGCACAGTAGCGCAGCGGTGCAGTAAGCGCAGTGGTGCAGTAAGCGCAGCGGCGCAGTAAGCGCAGCGGCGCAGTAAGCGCAGCGGTGCAGTAAGCGCAGCGGTGCAGTAAGCGCAGCGGCGCAGTAAGCGAAGCGGTGCAGTAAGCGCAG